GGTGAGATTTGAACAGCCGAACTGCAGAACTGCAGTCAGCTGAAGTAGCCTGCAGTGCTGCATTTAACCACTGCGCCACCTCGGCTCTTTAACTTCTTAACTTGATTAAGAACGTTAGCATTTGCCCTTGTTAAACTTCCTTCTGTTATTTCCACCTATTTTCCTGTCATATGAACAAGGTTTTGCACTTCCAGCTTCTAGGGAAATTGCTATCTCATTCAGTGTTGTGTCATCTGTAAATTTGATAACCTCTTTCTCACCCAAGTCATTAATAAAAATAATGAAGATGATAGGACCTTTGAATGTGCCTGTTGGCAGCTCATTTGATTTTCATTTGATGTATTTATTTGTCATAACATTCAGCTCATAGTTAATTAGCTTGCTACTGAGAATGTCACAGTGGACTTTGTGAAATGCTTTGATACAATGCTCCAGTAATGTATTAAAGAAGATACCTGATTCCAAAGAGTATGTAAGAAAAAGTGAAAATTCATTCTAGTATTTATTATTTTGTTTTCAAGATGTTTACAAATCTATCTCTTTATGATCTGCTATGCAGTCTCCCCAAAGTATTTGCTAGACTGAGGGATCTGGAGAAACGCCAAACCTTTTCCCCTTTTTGGAGATTGGGGCATTATCTGTTTTCTTCCAGCAGTTCCCAAGTTCTCCAGAATTTCCCAGCGTTAATAGGAAGAGGCTCAACATGAACATCAATATTTTTCCATCCACTTTCCTAGAATGCAATTTATCAAGCCCTAGAGATATATATGAACAACTGTTCCTTAGCAACTACTACCACGCCGGTGATAAGATGGGTAGATAACAAATTTTATAATTAAATAAATAAATAAATTTACTAATAGTGTTCCCACTATTGAGGCAAAGTGCCATCCATCACCCTTGAGCTGGCACCAAACATTGCCAGGATAACACCTACTCTTCCCATCAAAGTTCCCTAATCTACAGTATGTAGGGCGTGTCCAATTTTTCAACTTTCAATTTCCAAACATTAGGTGTGCTCAAAAATTGTGACATGCCTTGGGGATTGTAAAGATGTTTTGGTTATTTTGATATAATTTAGATGCGCTTGGTAAGTAACTACATAAATATGATAACTTTTTAACATTTTGTTTGTTTCATCAGTTACATTTGTCTGAGTCAGTGCAAAAGATGTGTGCGCTGGTTTGCACACATTATACATAAAACAATTAGTTTTCTGGTTTTGTTGCATGGGTGGGCTTCAAAAATTTCAGTAACAGATTCTCTGCCCGGTTGCTGGGTGGGTGTGGACATGGTGGGCATGGCCTAGCTGTCCTCCTGCACTACTGGGGGGGCATTTTTGCCTTCCCCAAGCTCCAGAGGGTTTCCTTGAGCCTCTGGGAGGGCGAAAACTGTCTCCTCTAGGCTCCAGAGGCCTTCCGGGATGCCTGTTTCCCCCCTCCCTGAGCCTCCACGTGGGCCCTGCTCTTAACTCACATCTAAAATGGGCCATGTGGAGACTCCAGGAGGGGAGGGGTGGGAGGGGTGGGCATGGCCAGCCACGGGTGAGATTTGGAGGTTCTCCAAACCGGCCATAACGTTAGCTACAGGTTCTTCTAAACCCAGGCGAACCCATAGAGCCCACCCCTGTTTTGTTGCCCCCCCCCTCTTCAGTTTGACACCAACAAACAGAGCAAAGACCTAATAGCTGGGAAGGCTGACTTTCACATTTTACCTAGGATCGGGATTTCAAGGTTGGCTTG